GTAAGAGAACCTTTGCTTGAAACAATAATGCATCAGTGGCAGTCAGTTTCTGAAAGATTTGTGAAGGAGGCGGATGGGCCACAGCTGGGCTGTCACAGTTTTACCTTGAGATAGCGCCACTCCTTTGAAAAGAATTTCTGGAATTGCCTCTGTGAGCGCCGAGAGCGGCGATTCTCTGTAGCTCTGAAGAAGTGTCATCACAGTCAGATGGCACCCTGGGAGGAACAGAGAGAAAATACACCAACAAACATACATATGACATTTCCCTTTTTTGTAAATTACATGGTTTACTTCTCTCGAACAAACCTCTGAGACAAGTACATAAAAACAAATGACTGAATTGTTCTCATCACCTGCTGAGAATACTCTCAGCTCTCTCGATCTCCTCCTCCAAGGTGGTCTTCACCGACAGATTGTGGGGTGACCGTTCTCTCTCTGCCGCCTGGCCGGTCATCTTCAGCTCTGACAGTGTGGATAAACACTCATATTAAAGACATTTTTGTAGCTGTCAGTTCAATATGACTGGGAGAGTTGAACAATGTTTGGAGTTGGCTTTTCATGCAGTTACACTGTGGCAGGAGAAGAAAGTGTTTATAGTTCACAGGGAGCCTCAGTGTATATGGTGCATATGACAGATTATAGTCAGGGGACAGGGGACAACTGGGACTGTCTGCCACAGTCCCTTAACTGGCCCATCACACAGCAGGTGGTTGCTGTGGTGACTGAAGCAACTGCAAGAGAAACTCAGTGCAGTTACATGCAGATGCTGCATTGTTTTAAATACAGTTTCAGGTGGTGGAAATTCACCATCCACAAAGAGTAGCATCCCCCACCCCCCGAAAACATGAGGGCAGTGACACACTTCCTCCCTGAGCAGCACAGACAGGTGACGGGGTGTTTAGATGACTGTTACCATTGTGTGACTAATTGGTGGATCATTAACGAAAACACACACATGGTTGGTCTGAAGCTCTGTGGCTCAGTGAGCCAATCAGCTTCTCTCCCTCAGGAGCCACATCACTTAGGAAACCAAGGTGTATGTGTTATAACTACCCGACAGCTGCTGGGTGAAATAAATGGAGGGTGCAAAAACTGGTAATTCACCCTTAAATTGATTCAGATATTACTTATACTATTTAATACTGTAAGTGCAGCCTGAAAAAGCTGTTTTTATTTACTTTTATTTTGGTAACACTTTATTTTATCGTTCCATATTTCCCAAGGAAGTTTCCCAGAACATTGCAATTTTGTACAAATTATAGGAGTTAATTCCAATGTATTGCTTGTGTCATCTAGATATTTGACTATAAGCAGGCAAACAATTTAACATACGTGAAGAATGAGTTGTCAATAATAAATGAGAAATTAATAAATATTTATTTTGGTTTGAATTCATTTTTCTTTCTTGAAAATTCTATTTTCTCTATCACAAATACCAAATCATCATTACAGTGATTAGTATGAAACTCTCTAGGACATTATAGACTCTATAAATTCCAATGACATGGTGGAAACACATTTTATTTACAATTGCAAATAAATATTAACTTGAATTGAGTAATAGATAATAAGACAGAGCTTATGGTTGTTTCACTTGAAACACACAGTACTGTAAATACCAAATGAATCTTAGTTTTACGTACCAAAATACTGTTAAATTCATAATATATCTCTACAGAAAGAAACTCATTACTTGTAATTGACTTTCATTTTTAACAAAAGAAGCATTGGGATCTTAATAAAATGTATATGCTACCAAAAAAGACAAAAGAAAATCATGGAAAATACATCAGATCACACAGATCCTTATTCTTACCTTTACTTTTGTTCAGTTACTCAAATAAACTCCTTATGGTGACTTTACACAGACACACCCAGAGCAACTCTCTCTCAGCCAATCCATCCTCAGTGAGATCCTCAGTGTTATGAGAGGAAAAACCAAACTGCATTCAATGCTCCTAAAAAAAAAACCCAATCACAAGTCCTGTTTTCGCAACATTTTCTGTGAGCCTCTGCTTGAAGTGTGTTCCCCTCTTCCCACCAGGTGTGTAAATTCAGATGGAGCAGCTACATGTGGGAGGCTGGTAGGATGGGAGATGCAGGGCGGGGAAATCCTTGAAATGTTAAGAGCCCAGATGTCAGCTTTAGACGGAGGAATCTTCTGGGACAACCTCTTGGTGGTGCCTCTCCTCCGCTTGTCTCAGGGAGAATAGTGAGTAACAGCACAAAGCAATCAGGAAATTCAGCAGGTTATCCTATTGATGTGTGGTTATTTTTCTTTATAAACCTTGTATTTCAATGAATTCAGCTTGTTTATTATTTTGGTCAGTTCTTCACCTTATATGATATTTATGTCAGGCTATTTATTTGACATTTCTTTAAAAAACAATACCACTATTTTTTACTATTCATCTTCATTTGACAGAGATAGAGATAGCGGGGCAGATAGGCAAAACAATTGTGCATTTTATGACTAAAGCATGAAAGGTTCCGCAAATAATCTACATACCTCAAGGTTTTATTTCAGATGGAGGCAATTTATATCTGAGCTCTGGTGACCTTGAGAGTCATTGACCTCAGCGTTGCATTTTTCCAGTCTTTGCACCATTTCTCCACTATAATCATGTATATCTTTATCAAAATTGAATAAAGATGCGTATTTGCTGCTGTGGCCATGTAACATAATTTTGCATAGAGCACCAATTTTGCACGGGGACTGCAGACCGCAACGTTTCCAGGTGTTAAGGTAGCTATAGCTTGTTAAAAACACTGACAACTTCTGTTGTGTGTTCTATGTAATCACATAACTAGCTAGCACATTAGCGAACACTCTAATCAGAAGCTAGCATGCTAGTTTGGTCTGGACCAGACTCATTACTCCAGGTGGCTCTGCCGTGTCCCAGAGGTCACATCTGAAATGCCTCCATGTCTGAAAATACACTTCATGGTTTATAGAAGCAGTAGTGAAAGTTTTACGCTTTAGTCATAAAATGCACAATAACCTTCCATATACAAGCTTATCAACTGCACTAAGACTGTAGTTACTAGTTACTTTTCAATTTAAAAATATGAGGCCAAAAGAAGTGAAATTATCCAATATTTCATAAAAAGAACAAAGATTAGACAAAAGATGAATTTTGTTTTTTTCTTATTTCCTTCCTTTTGGAAGAGGCCCTACCCCTGGCTTGATATTTTGTGCAGCATTAGTTTATTTACAGTAACCTGTCATCGATTTTTTCATTATTTCCAGATTGGATATGAGACTTGGACTGGTCGTTGTCCGATCTTCCTCTCTCCTCTGTTTAAAGGTCTCCTGTTGAAAAACTTTTTATCCAACTCCACAGACACACTCTCTAGTGCAAATGGTGCTAGAAAATCCACAAGATGAAGGCCTCTGAAGACAACCTCTTCATCATCCAGCTTTCTGACAGAGCCTGTTAGTCTCTGCTTTAATCAGGTCCTTGGAAAACTTGAAGACGGGAGACTTGCTGAGAAACTCTTTAGGGACTGGAGCCCAAAGGACTGACTCAGACCAGTGAACAGTAAACTACAATCTGCCACTGCTATCCCTGTTGGACTACAAGTGTTGGTGGACTGTAAAGAAAATCATGTCTGTTAACACTGACGAAGAGCCATCAATACACAGCTCAGATTCTCCTCAGTATTCCCATCTGGTTACATTCAAATCCCAATGTATTATTCATCTACAACAAGTTTTTGCCAGTTTTTTATAATCCATGTTTAAAGTCCATTTAAATGTTCATAGAAATCTTACATTATTGGGCTCAGTCCTGGCACATTTCCTCTTGGGTAGACTTAACCAGGCAGGAGAGAGGGGAAATACAAACAACAATAAATATATATTTTTATGATGTGCAATTTAAAACAGGTAGTGTGTTTTACAATGAGAAAGAGGGAAGAACATAAAAGCATGAGGGCAGTAACAATAACAGAGCATGTGATAAGAGAAAGGAGAAGCAGAGAGCTGTAAAAACAAAAAGAGGTAAAAGCTCGGATCAATGTGATGTTAAAGAAGAGGTGAGTACCTGCTGTTCCTCCGGCCGCTTGTTTCAAACTCTCATGTCACCAGTATCACCACAAGGTCCATTTAGTACTAGCTGTTCTGCAGCTTCCAACCATATCACACAATCTGCTTCAGCAGATGGAATTTGTCCAGTATTCATGGAAATGCCGAGATTTAAATGTTTGTTTTTTTCTGGTCTATGTCGGCTTAAAAGTTGAGATTAAAAGTAATTATTCGCTATCGAAACAGCAGTTGACCGTGATGTCTATATAGTCGTCCATTTGAACATCAACAATTACATGACAAGTGGGCAAACTCTGTCCACTCAGGAAACTATAACTATACTAACTGTTCTTGGAAACTTGGAACTCAAAGGTCAAGAATGATTTTTCAATCTTAAATTTTTTTAATGGCAAGTGTACAAAATATGTTTCATGTCAACAGGTGCAATATGACTTCACTCTAATGACGATCATTGGCATGGCTAAGCTTTATCTAGCTATTGTTGATGTGCAGTAAACATAAAAAGGCACTTTACCCCACAAGATTTATGTGAAATTGTTTCCAAAGGCCATTTACAATTAAGTTACTCTCACAAATAAGTTATGATGTAAAACGTTTCATATAAGAAAAATATAGTTTCTGAAAGTCTCATTCTTTCTCATTTAGGAATGAACAATGTTAGAACAGAAAAATGTTTTATTTAAAAGTCCTCGCTTCTTTTGTAATTCATCATCTGGCTCCTTCGTCTTTTATTTTTAATAAAATGTAGCCTACTGTGTTTATTATATTTACTAGCTGTCTTTAAGGGAATTAAGCATTTGATTGCACTCCAGTAATTAATATGAAATTTATTTGAATTTTATGTTGTAAATATTGTAAATAATTGTAAATTTCTGCTCAGTCAGGATAGCAGTGGTGGATTAACAAGTACATTTAAGGTTAATTCCAAATCTATGGAAGATAAACACACAAGCACTTTTCAAAGTCATATTTATTGTTACATGTAAAGCACTTAAAGAGTAGACATGAAAATGAGACCAAATACAATTTGGCCACTGTCATAGAATATCATGAACCTACCTGGAATGAAGTTACTGTTTATATTTGGTAATGTTGAATACAAAAGGGAAAAAAAGGAAAACCTCAAAAGCGCAAAGGACAAGTCATCTCTATGACAAGAAGAAGGCACAGCAGAAGCCAGGAGAGTCCAGTCAGCCTGCTCCTCATCCAACGTAACAGACGAAAATAAAAAAAAGACCAGACACCAGACACCTCAAAAACAGCATTTACCTCATGTAATAATCCCGAGAAACAAACAAATGACGAGTACAAGCATACAGACAGCACATCAGACTGGTCATTAGAATAATTTGACCATATGGCCTCTGTATGCAGACATGTAGAAGTTTATGGCGCCAGTTATTAAGACATGCCTGTACTTCATTAAGTGAGAGGGAATGATTGGGTGTTTTTAACGTGTGCTGCACCCGAACATCCCACTGCTCTTCATTTTTTCTTTTTTCGCCTTGTCAAGCATTGTTTCATAAGTATGGTATTCAGGCATGTGTGTTGCTTAGTGAAGGATAATTAACTTATCAGTCTGAGTAAAAATATGTAAACAACCTTGCAGCTGTAAATAGGCATACTCGCTTAAAAAACAGCATTCTTATACATTAAGAGTTCTGGATATGGAAAGTAACAAGTTGTCCTCTGTAACATGAGACCCATCTCTTTATAAATTTTAGGATTTTGACCCACTTTAAATGAGAGGACAGCGCATTATTCATCAGTAAACACCTCTATTAATTAAGAGAAGCAGGGACACATGCAAATTTATGATTCTGATTGAATTCAACAAAAAAAAAAAGAAAAAAAAAAAAAGAAAAAACATATTCTTCATTCCTTCAGTTGGGGGAGCTCTTTCAAATTGCTAATGGCTTGTGGGTTATAAGTGTCACAATGATCCCAGTCACTGTCTTAGACCCGCTTCATCCCCCGACCCATCAAGCAGGCAAAGACTGTCATCACCATTTTGGGTTTGACCTCCACAAGGTCTTCTGGGAGAGCGTAGACACGGGCTCCGATCTTCCTTGCCATAGAGACAGCATATCTAGGAAGGACAGAGAGGTTGTCTCGAATAAAACTGTTTACACAAACTAGTTACCAGAATAATGGCAAAAGGCAGGTTCTTTCTTACTTGGCGTTCTCCAGCTTGTCATCTTCAGATAGGCTGCCGGTTTTTATCAGCTCGTAGTTGATGCTGCCCGGCTGGATGGCGTCTATCAGTTCCAATACTGCCAAACTGCTGCTGATCTCCTTGTCCTGATCACCACACCACACACAGATTAAGGATCTGACACACACAAGCTTATCTGACCAATGAGAAAATGTAGTGCTCTTGGTTTGCATGATACTGCCTGTATATAAATTACATTAAACTGCCAGATTTTTCTAATTGTGAAATCATCTTTCCTTCTTTTGAACATGGAGGTTAAATAATCTAACCTTAAAAGTCCACTTACTAGCTTTGATACATCAATGCCACCCCCATGTATGACCTTGTTATCACATGACATTGTAACTTGTGCAGTTGAAAGTAAAGGCTTTCCAAAAGAGCTCAGATGATTTTGCTACTTTCACTATATTTTAAACTCAGTGTTAAAATGTTTCAGTTTAATCTACACATACAGGTCACTGCCTGTATATGTGAGCAAATAGAGGAAACAGAGCTCTACCTTAAAGCTTGAAATCTTGGTTGATTTTCCAGCCTCCGCCAATGTTTTGTTCACCCAGTTTACAATGATGTCATCATTTACTTTCTGTCCATCTCCTAGTTCCTCCAGTACATTCAACGTATATCTGAAAGAGTGGAGAAGCAGCTTGTTTATTAGAAACACTCCAAGACTCTAAGTAACTTGTTTTTTTGTTTTTTTAACACAAAGATGTGGGCTGAGACAAAAAAAAGAAAAAAAAAGAAAAAAGGAGGAACTTTAACTCTGGAGCCCTTTTCTTGTTTTAAAACATGTATTTTTCATTTGAAGAACCACATGGTCATATTGAGCAGAATGGACTTCTGTATTGTTGTGATTTTTGGGTCACTCAAACCCTGGAAACTCTGACACAAAGAATACAAAATATGGGGAACTATGTCAACACACATCCTTGTGATAGGAGCCAAGTGAGTTCATGGAAATGTGGTCTCGTTTTGGAGGAACACACATACTAACACCACCACTGGCATGGAATGGAGGTTTCTAATTACCAACTCCCTAGAAGTTGTTTACAGTAAATACACAGTTATCACAATGAATCTGACAATGAAGACTGATGGTGATTGTAGTGTTTCAAAATACCACACAGACATACTGACTGAAAAACAATATGTTATTTGGAAGCACCACTGTGCATCCTAAGCATTTTGATTTGTCTGTTGTTTTTTTTTTTTTTCCCCCAGAGTAATTCCTCGATAGCAACCTTTATTTATCATTTTAGTTCTTTTTATATTTTGGTACATAATAATACTTCAATCTTACTTGTTATCATTAATTTAACTTCTAAATAACATTTTAAAAAATGATATGGTGTGAAATCCACCACACTTTGCTTAAAAGGTTTGGCCATTATTTCAGTTTTTTCTTGTAGACCACATACATTTCAGAGATGTATTTCTATTTCACTCTTTTCTGAAGTGTCACCTTCTCATCAGCTGCCACACCAGTGCCAGAGTCAGGGTAGCGTTTCCATCGTTCAGGTCCTGCCCGCCGATGCCAACGAGGGAGAACTTGGCTGTTTTGCCCAGTTCTACTGCATAGTTACAATTCTCCAACTACGGGCACAAGTAGAAAAGTTGACAAAAGACAACCAAAAAGGTCTTTTTTTTCTTGCCTCGTAATGATCAAAAGAAATCTTAGGTTACCTTTTTCATGTTGGTCCCCAGCTTGGGGTAAGGTGGCTTGTTGACCTTGTTGTTCCAGTCGACAGGCACTTTAATCTTCTCGTAAAGTTGAAGGATAACCATGGCATCCTGTAGGTCTCTAGAAGACAGGAATGTGTTTTATTATTATTCATATTAAATACATAAAAGTTCCCAAAAGCTTCAGATGTTTATTGGATAAAGATTGACACAAACTGTCGTGTGTGGTACTTACCCATACAGATGATTGACATGTGGATTCACTCCCAGAGAGTTCATCCAGTTTCGGAACGTTCTCTCTTCTCTTGTCTCACCTAGAGAGCAAAGGATCATGGGATTCAGGGGATTTCCATGTGATCAGACCGGCAGCTCAACTCAGCAGTAGTCAATTGTGATTCTAAATGCGCAGAGCTGAATAGACCTAGTACATATTTCTTTTTAATATTTTTTATGCTGCACAATTCAGCTATCACTGACTTGTAAATAGATCATGTGCAGACAGGAGCTAATGTATCCAGAGGGAGCCAAAGTTAGGGGTGGCTTGTTGTCACATTCTAATATCAAAATTAGTTTCTATTCTAAAATAAGCCTGCAGGCCAGTTAGTTGACTAATAAAGGTTTACAATTGGTTCTTCTCAGACTTTTTGCTCAGTTGATTTGTAGCTGACAACCTGCTTTGTCAGTCAGCGTCTTACTAGTAGCGATGGGCTCCTACATGAACACACAGTTTTTTGCCAAAGGTTGAATGGTTGTGGTTATTTTACATGGGAGATATCTGTATTTGTGTTTTTGTCTTGTCTCTGGTTTGAAGTGAGCTGGTTTTGTTTGGAAAAAGGTCTCGTCACATAATTCTGTACTGTGACGATGACAGCTATGGGGCTGTTTGCTTATATTTCTAGGTAGCTGTCAAAGGTGATTAAATCCCACTCACATGATGAAGCACATTATCTGAGTTTGTGACAGTTAAACTCTTAATCGATAACTCATATAATGAGGATGTTTTCTTTAGTTGTTGCTTATTGGTCATGAATATTTAATGTTACATAACTCTAATACTAGAAGTTAACTATCCAATTCTTCTGCTCTCCATACCTTCCAATAGTCCCCAGTCAATATCCTCATTCTCAGGTTTGGTCAGCGCTGGATACTTGTTGAACAGATTGGCCACAAAAGCAAGGTTGAGTTTGGGGTTTCCACTGACGACGTCAGCTGGGGTGACAAACTGTCGACAGCCGAGCCTGTCGGCCTGCTGCAGCATGGCTTCTGCCCTCTTCATGTCGTCTTTCTCCTGAACCGGACACAGAGCACACGCTACGATCAGAGACAATGTACTGCTGTAACCATGTGGTGAAGATACTCAACTGTGAGCACTGACGGTCAGTGCTTACACTGAAGCCTGCCATGTTGATGTCTATGCGAGGTTGGTTTTCATCTGTGCCTTTTGGAGAGATCTGATTCAGGAGGTGGAAATAGGCCCTTGAGTCCTGGAAAATAATGTCAACAACAAAACACAATCAGACTTCTGAAAATAAATGATCAAGAAATTCCATTGTCTAACATCATTATAACTTTTTGTCTCATGATGACAGCTACACTGATTAACTTAATATTGTCAAGCTTTTCATATGAACTATATATTTTGTCTACCATCTGTGTTATTTACATAATTTGGGTATGGCAAACCTGTCACACATGCTTCATAATGTGTAGTACTGTGTTTTCCTACTGTTGAGTTCCTTGGTGAAAATTTTCTATTTGTTGTATATTAAGTATAAGCTATGAAACTACATGCATATGCAGAGTAACAAAAGTATATGTGCAGAATAACAGAGTTACAGAAGAACTATTTACTTTTTCTGTACACATGATATCTTAATCCCTTCATAAACATTTGACAGTTTGTCAGTGTTAGCCAGAGACACTACCGTTTCAACACTATTTTTGGAGCAGTGGAGGCGTTTATTTGAGTTGAGTTTGTTGTGCAAACACAAACATGTACTGCCTGGTGCAGTGTGCTGATAGATGTCTGTGTTTGTGTGTCAAAAGAAATACACACAAACCTACAGACACTTCCTGCAAGAACCTTAAAACCAAAGGTTTTTGAGTGGTTTCTGTTCCTGCATCTAATGTTTACTACGCCAGCTGGATTCAGTGTTAGTGTGTAGGCCCACCTTGATGTCAGAGCTGAAGTTGTTGATCTTCTGCCAGCCAGCATTTTCCAGGTGAAAGTTTGCCCAGCGTAACAGCAGTTCCTCTGGAGACAGCTTCATCAGGTCTTCCAGTGTTTCCCCATCTCTCAGCAATGCTGCCAGCGCTGTCAAGGGGTGTAAATGATCAGTTAAGCTACTTGACAAAAGACCAGGAAACGCTAATGATAGAAGCACAGACTCAAATACATGTTACGTAACAGACAATCTCAATTATGGCCCGTACCTTCATTTCTGCTTAGCTCGATGTCAGCAAACAGACCAATCTTGATGATCTGCCACAGCAGGCCCAGCACCAGATGGGGCTTCCCTTCTTTCAGGTCTAAAGCACCAATGTTCACTACATGGCAGCCAATGGCAGAAGCTGAGTTCAGGGCCAGGTTCAGATTCTCCTGTAAGGTACAAAACATCAGCTGTTGGAAGATTTGCATAAAATAGTGATGGACAAAAAAACATCATAAATTAATTGTGACTAACCTGTATTGTGAACGGCGTCAGCTTCTTCTTATTTATGGTTCTCTCATCTATAGTGTCTGGCACTGACAGGTTGATCATTTTGCTGTGCAAACATACAAAACCAAACATGAGTTTTTAATCAGTCATTTGATGCAGTGTACATGTTGTAAAATAAAGCAGAAATAACAACCCAAATGTTCACTGTTCGCAAAAGATTTGGAAAAATTTGTGAACTTTGTTTAAAAAATTTAATTTTTGTGGAGAAGGGGTTCAGCATACTGACCATGTAATATTTCACATCCAGAGTCCAGCTATGGACCACTCTCTCTCTCTCCACTCATTTCATATGTATACTGTATACTACTTAAGGCAAAACGCCTGAAAAAATAAATACATGAATTTAACTTTTCCAAATGTTGCCTCTTATTGTGGTGGTAAACGGAACATAAAGTGGAAGTATGCATGTTTAACAATTAAACAAAATGGCAATACTATAACAGACATGTATCATATTAGGTTGCTTCCTAATTAGCACGTCGGCCAACGTGATGTGCACAAGTCTTCATTATCCCTGTTAAGTTAGCTTCAGCATGTGCACAGTGTATCTCTTTGTCATGCAGTTTATCCGTCTGGAATATATGCAACAACAGATGATTTGGTCTCTGCAGCTCTGCAATCTGTTTTATGTAAATCTAAATACTCACATGACAAAGTGCTGAATACTTGCAAGGCTGCTAAGTGCTAACTAGCATTCAGCCCACTATGAACTACCTTTACATCAAAGTTTACAATTTTGATTATGTTACTTTAGTATTAAAGTCACTTTCTGTTTCAACTAGTATACATCTGTAGACTTTCAACTTGTGATTTAACAAAAAGAAAGATAGATTTGGAACATATATATATATTAATTTCTGAATATCTTTAAATTAATATAGTAGTACTGTGTTAGTATCAATGTCTTCTTTGCAACTCAAAGCAGAATATTGTCATGGTTGATTGACATTCCCCAATACAGGCTAATAGTTCATCTGTTTTTCCAGCCTGAATGTGACCACAACAGTAAAAGCAGTGAGATGGAGGTATTTGACATTTCTATCAGAAGGGTAGCTCGGAGATGAAGGGGAGAGCTGTGCTGCTTGCTTGAAGTGACAACAGGTTTCCTTACCAGAGTACTATACCATCTCCGACAGATGTGAAGAGAGAGTCTGTGTTGGGATCCATGGGCAGGACATGTTGGCTGTCAGGGTCTTTTTCCAGAGCAGTGTTGATCCAGTTAACAAAGGCATATCGTTCCTCCTCTGAAGGTGTGTACATATACAAGCATCAGTTAAAAGCAAAACATCAACAACATCAAGTTACAGTGTTGCTCATAATGACTGATTTTAGTAGGTTATATTGTACATTAAGAGTTTCTTCAATGGTAAATTAACCAACTGTACCTGAATTGTAGGAGGCGCAAAGTCAACACTTTATGTGAAACATTTGCAGCGACTGAGAGAAAGGAAGGAGTCGATATCCATGATGTCAGGACTCTGTGGACTTACCAGAGAACGAGTGTTGTGTTCCTTCACTCGACAGCTCAGACGTCCCTCCAATAGCCAGGATGCCTTCTTTTCTGTTGATGACCTTGCGGAATGTTTTTGCTATTTCACTGCCCCTCAGCTCCTGGACGATCTAAAACAATAACAAAGAAAACTCTGAAACCAATTTCTACTAGACCAGGAAAATCCTATATTATTGCTTTAGGCTGAAAATTATGGAATATTTAAGATACATCTATATGCATATATAAAATGATTGATATTATTTGTGTTAATAACTGACAGAATTGCCTGCTGCTGTTGGTAACAGTTTCCTGTTAATGTTTCAATTATAAGAGGGAAATTATTTTCCGACGTATACATTCGGTGGCCACTTGATCGGGTACACCTGTCCAATCTAATTTAAGTCAATGCAACTGTTAAACCGTATATCTTCAAATCAATCCAGATCAACCACATTGTGGTTTTTATTACAATATGAACCAGGTAAATTGATCTGTAACACACCTTTTACACATAATTTCTGCTTCCACAAACACTGGATATTTGTCAGTTATTTTAAAACAAATTAAAAAAAATCTTAAATCAAAAAATTACATACATTACAAATATTACATTACAATACATTATTTAATGGTTAAAACAATCTTTAGTTGCAGCCATGTCTGTGCAAAAGTCTTAATCATCTTCTCTCTGTTTACTGGTGTTTGCATCCTTTGTTGTCTTATCAAACTCCTGTTAGCCATCATGACAGCCAAGGTCGCTCAGCAGACACAGCTGTGCCGCTGGAATTTCCCCTCACTGTCATTACAACACAAAGCCAACCTGCCAGCTACAGGGCTGAGAAAATATGATGAACGTGGCTAGTAATCGAGTTTTTGAACAATATAAATGGGCTCAAAAACAACATTTGGTTGATGGGTTCATAAAAGCAACTTTATTGTGGCGATTTAAAGTGAGACTGTGCTTTCACTACACATCGAATCTAAGAATTACAGTGCTGAGTGTGTGAGTGCCAGTCTGTCATTAGTGTTATCAACAGTAACAGTAAACCACCAAAGCAACAGCTATTATGATCCTCCACCACCTTAACACCATCCTCAGGCTTGTCCCTACATCCTAACATTAAATAATTACCTCTAAACATTAAATCAGTCTCAACAACTAATGAGACCACAGGGAGCTCTGTGGTGCGAGTATGTAGCTTATCAGTAACGCACAACATGTGAGCGGCTTCAGACAAAGCTGCTTTGACAAAAAGTTTTCTATCGTAATTCGTGCGATACTTCCTGAAGCTGAAGTTATCACTGCTTCATCAGTGACCACTGCCCCACAGGCGTTGGTGTGACCACAATGAGCTATTGAGCCTGGTACCGGGAGAGTTGTTTAAAAAGCATAGCACACTTGATACACAAACATACACAAGGTCACAGGGTGCCAGCTTGCATTGTTTGTGAACTCTAGGTAAAAGAAGTAACTACAAAAAGACAATCATTGCATGAATGATAAAGATTTCCACTCAATTCTGTAAGTTTAGCAAACAGCTATTTTCCACTGTATGGGCTGTGAGAGGGACATTTACATTAATTCCATATACATTTAATCTGGGTTGTTTTCATGCATAAGAACATATTTTGTATGGTGGTGTTTTATCAAACCCTAGTTTTGAAGCGCAGACCTTCTGCACACAATGGCACAATACTATTTTTGCATTTGGAAAGAAAAAAAAAGAAAAGAAAAAAAGAAAAATCAGCTGATCAATCACATGCTGGACTTATCTCCACAAATTTAGACATTGTTTGACTTTTGTTGACCAGTTCCATAAATAGTTAAATATTACATTTTTATTTTCCAGTTCTAATATATCTGTTTATTTCAAACTTTCATTCTATTTTATTTGAACTTTCAAGTGCCCAATCTTATTTAATTCCCTAAAATGCATGAAAGCTGATTTTCCCATTTAAAAAAACATTTAACTTTGTTTTGAAAGGGGCAATATGAATAAAACTTATCATTATTATTATCATTATTGCAATATCATAAATAACTTTGGCAACACCTACAAAAGAACACAGAAGCACTCTGGGAAGGTGTGGCTTTGTGAAACCATAAAGTACCTCAAATTGTAAGATTATAAATGAGCCCTTTAAATTCGAGACTCAAACATGTTCCAGGTGGAGTCAAAGATGATGATCCAAGTTATAGGATCATCCAATCCAATTTGTTTCACTCTGTTGTTATCATAGTCATGGTTAAGCTTACTAACAGCCACACATCCTAAAACAAGATATCAGAGCTATTACAGAGCGACAAAACACAGGTACATCCTCCTGATCTTGAGATTTTGAATCATGCAGTGCTGCTGTAGCAGAAGGGGAAGCGGTGAATGACTGCTCTCTCTAAATGACTGCTCCCTCATCACTGCTGAAACAAAATAATGGAACTCGCACCTCACTTCCACATTGCCTGAGTATGAATGCCTGTGTGTGTGGTTTGTAGAGGCCTTCAATCTCCTGTCGTGCATTTAGCTGCTAAAAGTTGCTTTTCATAGCTGGCCCACTCAGGAGGGTGAGGTACTTTTAGGCAGAGCGGTAAACAAAGACCGACTCCCTGTAATGAGAAGCTCTGAACAGAAGGTGAAAACTTGTCAAGCTTGACACTACGAGCTGCTCTGAGCTCAACTTGACGTACCGACAAAAACTCGTCAAAGCTGATCTTATTATCCTTGTTGCGATCGAGTTTCTGGATGATCTCTCGAACCATGTATCCAGGTAGGGGGTGGCCGGCCTCTTTAAGGAGCTCATGGAGTTCATAATCACAGATATATCCATTGTTGTCCAGATCTACAGAAACAAAGAAATGAAAATTAGATACCAACAGTCATTTATTTTGATTTACACTGTCAGTTAAAGTTTTTTTAAATGAATTATTTGGTCTATAAAGGAATAATAATAAATGCAAATCAGGAGTTACATTTACCTCTTGGTTTTCAATTTTAAAAAAATTAAACAGTCTGCATTTTAAACATGCTGTAATGAGAAAATGTGTTGCTTATGTAATTATAAAATGATCTAATTAATAACACACTGTTATGGTAAAACAGCTTTTACTAACCAATTTTTCCAAAGATCTCCCTCATCTCCTCCAGCTCCTCTTTTGTTATCTTTCCAGACATTTTTCTGTGATTGACCTGAGGTGGTCAGTCAGAGAGAGGTGGGACTGCAGGGAGAAAAAGTGCACAGAGTCATCAGCAGGGACCCCATCCTCATCAGTCTCCCGCAAACCTCTTTTCAATCCTTTTACAGACCGCCACCGCCCTCTGCATCTTCAACCGGCAAAGGGATTTGTACTCCCCAGCTCATCCTCACTGAAATAGACAACTTTCCTGCCTCCTTGCCAACATAGAAGTGACCTTTCCTCTTCAGAGCAGCAGAATAAAGGTCACTCCTCATCTTGTCAGGACTAAAAACTCTTAAAGTAGTACCTCTTGTTCCCACCTCCTCACCGGTCCCCTCTGATCCCACACCCTGCTGTTCATATCTACTGTTCTCCTTAGTTTCTCTCTTTAGCCCTTTTCCTTTTCCAAGCAAGTCTCTCTCCCATGATCAATGTAATTTCATGATATTTCTATTGGATAGCAATGAGCCTGTAGTGTAAAAAACACTGCCAGAGAGGGTGAGACTACTTCATTCTTTAGCTGATAAGATAATTCATTACATTACATTTTCTTACATTTGATTACTGCAACTGCATTATCAAACAAATACCCTAAAACTGACCACTGCTTTTCATGTTTTTGTCTTTTTATCTGCATTACAAATCAAATGTAACCATTTTATTTTAGTTTTAATAATAATCTTTATAATAATATAATGATTAATAATAATCTTTCATCCAAACTGAGCTAGCTGTAATGAAGAAAAACAGTTTTATATGATAACGTAACATCTGGGTAATTTTTGTGAGTCTTCTGTGACGGCTCTAAATTCTAAAGACCTGGATCCCGGTTCATCATGAAGTTGTTTGGGCTATATTTTTAAATTGTATCAGAGAGAAGGGTCCTCACTGAGAAGAAAGATTCATCTAAATGTGACTGAAGTCACAAAACGCAACCAGTGACAAGTTATTTAGCTTGGAAACAAAAACACTGTGTTCCCAAACTCCTATGAGGCAAACTAACCATTTGAAAATCACTGAAAATAAGGAATTCCTCTGAGTACCTCCTTCCCGTTCTGTAGTAACAGAGGAATGCATGAGGCCTGGGTAGATCGAGCTTCAATTCACAGAGAGGTGAGCAGGGTTTGCTGCCTCGCTCGCCCAGGCTGAACTGGTATGATGGCATTCCTCTCTCCAACACAAGTGCTCAGAAAAGCAAGATGAGGTTTATATTGGGGTAAAATAAGGATCATAGATTTTTCCAAGCAGAAAAGTGTTCCCGTTTCCTGACTTAAAGTTCAGATTGTTGATTTTCATAGTGCATTAGTCAGAAATCCTGGGCAAGGCCGTTTTGGTTTCCACAATATAACATGAGTAAAACCATATTAGGGAATAGTTGAATGTCCAGTTTTTCAAATGGCTCATGTCTCATCTGACTGTAAGTAATTAATCTATGTCTGAAGTGAGTGATTTCAGCAATCTAGTCTTTCTCAGGCCACAGCAGCATCACAGGATGACATTCAAGCAGATAAACAATGAACAAAAGTCCAGTAAGTGTGCTTCCTCTTTCATGAATGACACTATTAATAGCATTCATCAAAGATGATTCAACAGTAGACTCGTGGACTCGGATGACTCAGTTAACGCTATTCTTACAAACCAAACAAAATGATGACATAATAACACTTTGTCCCGCACCAAAGTCATTAATGACAAAAATGCTAAATACAGTAAACTGGTTCTAGGTCAGAGAGTGTTTTTCTTCTACAAAGCAATACTAAATCAGGGCAGGCACAGACTCCTAACTAAACGATTAGGAAAATGACGATGTCAGTGTTGCTATATTTAACTTTTCTCCAAAAGGATGTGAACTGTGGCTGCTGAAGTCAGCCCGGCTACAATAAGAGCCGACAAACATTACCTCATTTGCCAGCCCCTGTCACACCCTCTACAGAGGCAGAGTGAAAACGGAAGAGAGGCTAAGTACATGGAGCGAGGGCACAGATGGCAGCGGACAAATGTGAGACGTATCACTGGTGGTATAGAAGAATAGAGGGTTTGTAATCACCATCACAAACCACGGCAATAAATCCTGTGTAATGCTCGAAAATGAGTCTTGAGTGTCAGGATCCAAAGACAGTTGCTGTCTTTGACAGCTGCTCTGTGTGCTTGGAGAGACAAGAAAATTCCTGCGCTCTTCTAAACGCAAAAACCAACCTCTTAAATGGAGTGGCTCATGTTTGCTTTAAAGCATAGGCCTATCAATACTTCTGATAGAGTTTGAACATATTATTCAAATGTCAGTACTTGGCCACAATGATAAGGTTCAATAGATGAGAATGATACAGCCATACTTTTGAAAATTATGGAGAGAAGATTTACAAAACTGGAAGATTTTGCACTTTGAGTAGAAAAGTTCCACAGGGATGCAGTAACATAAAATGAAAACAAATGCAAGTACTACATACAGTGTGTAATACTGTGTAAGTTTCAGGCATCTAAGTCACGTAATGTCTAGCAGTAGCAAAACAAGAGCAACTGGACTTGCTTTGCAGTCTTCACGACATTTCACCACTCATTCAAGAAGCTCTCAGTTCTCTAGCTCTTGTTTTACAAATGAATATCACCCATACACAAGAATTTCTTTCCAAGCATCAACAGCTTTGATTAGTGAGCCAAAAACAGCACTTTGACGTTGTTTATAATCGCTTCTGATGGATCTTTTAGTTATTTTAAAGCGGAGGGCTGTTCCCAGATGGCTGAGTTAAATGTGTAGAGCTGACACACCCCACTCCGCCAGTGTTTCGTGCACACAGTTACATGGGAAATGTGAGGCGCGCAAATAGATTGGGCACTCTTCCCAAGTGTGGTCAAGTTCATATGCGCACACACCCAACTTAGTCTGCAGGAACACGGACATTTTTACTCAGTCAAAATCCACAGCAGATGTGAAGCAAACTGACTCATAAACACCAAACAGTCTGTAGCACCAGCCCTTTATTTCCTTTTCAGGCTGTGTGGATAAGATAAGTATGGCTATACTGACAGGTAAGGCGCAGGTGATGACAACAAATACTGCATGTGTAGTTTGCACATGTCTGACATCATGTGCAGCTGCAAGCATAACAACCTGGGCTGGGTTTAGGGGTATTATAAAATCTTACAAAGCTTGACTATATGATGAATCATCATGGAAATATTCAAACGAAATAGTCCCTTGACAGTTTCCCGAACCATGAGCAGCTAACCTTTACAGCCTGCTCTCTATAGTACACTACTTTTCACCAAATGAAAGGACGGAGCTGTAGTAAATGATGCAGCAGGTTTTCAGAGGCCTGTGCTAGCAAAGGTGTAAATCCCTACCAACCATCTCTTAAGAATGTCATTAGACAGGTTACTGAGGTGCTGCAGAATCAGTTGGGTTAGGCTGTTACTGCTACAGGTAAGCAGCCACACCTTCAAGCGTTTGCCATTACTCAACAAAAGCACTGTAAAGCATTATCATTTAAATGCTGTATAATCAGACAGTACAAGCAACAGTAACTATTAAGTACCACCCTTTCTTCATGCAAGCATTATGCCACTGAGCAAGACACTGCATCACTGCTTGGGAAACTTTTAAACATTTAATATTTATAAGTTAACAAGTTTAGGGGATTGTTTCTTTAGGGCTTCTGATTGGAATGAGCTTTAATGAAGCTGAACAGTTCAAAAACGAGTGCAGCTAATAAGTAATTTGATCACTTTCACTGTGTTGAATAACAAGTGAGGGCACCTGTTTAAAATCCTGACAGCACAGAAAGTGGGGCAACCTGTTCATTTGCACAGGCGTGAGTGTGTGCAAGGGTGGAAACAAAATATAAGCACACTCCCTCCCCCTTTTTGACTGTCTGGTTTGTCCTTACAGAGATAGCATCAGACACATAACGTCTGTTTTTAACACACCTACAGTAGGTGATCTCATGTGGTACTGCAGCATGAGCAAGGGAAACTCACATTTTACATAAACTGTTGTGAAGCATAGTGCACATACCACACAGGCACATTCATGGGCAATTTGACCACACCAATCACGTTAATGACAGGCAGACTGAAATGAATTACAGCTTTTTTTCTTTCCCACAAAGGAAGTGCAAACAAAACTTTTTCCAGCCTTGATACTCTGAACAAAACTTTGTCTCCTGAGTCCAGACACCAATAATGGATTATTTTTGTCTTTAAGAACTAAACATCTTTAACAATCTCTCTATCAAAGTATGCCACTGTACAAGCAAAACAAGATTTAAACCAAGGACAGACAGTAGGAAATGCTGAATAGGAAATACCGATCATGGATGAGCAACTGTATTCACAACACGCTTGTTCCAAGGCACAATATTTATCCAGTTAAAATGTTTTTTTCTGATACTATCAGACAGCCTTAGTGTACAGTGCTTTTCTAACTGTGATCAACAATTGGGATCCCAGATGTACGTGTACATGTGCATGCTGCAGCCCTGGATAGGTTTACAGGAAAAATCTGGGAAATCATTCAGGGAGGTTAAACAACATAGACCACTGTTTGGCATGAGTGAAAAAAAAACACTGAGTAACTAAATGGATGTCAATTCAGCTTTAAAACAATCACCAACCAACCTTTCCCAACACACTGTGTCACCCACTAAAATAAAGAACATATATGAACAATTTCATTTGAGGGACCAGTTACCAACTCATGTACTGGGAGTGAAATTCCACTTTGTAAATACATCATACCACATCAAAGAAATATGACACACCAGGGAGGTAGGGGCAGATCTATTTAACCCTGAGTAAAACATTTACTCGGATTGTTCTGACATCGTATGAAAGTGACAACAAAAAAGAAAAAATGTGATTTGTCATCACAGGAGCAAACAGTGGGGTTACAGACGCCTAGCATGGTTAAAGATCTGTGAGACTAGGCTTCATCTTGTGTACAGACTGTATGTGCAATGTGTTTATGTACGGGTCATTCATGCGCCAGTTTGTGTACCAGGAATAAATAAATAAATATATATATGTATATATTTTTTTTAAAAAACAGTGCAGGCTCCACCTATGCGGCTTCCTCCGGTGAGAGGTGGTGTTCAAAATGAACGAACCTGGTTGTGTCTAACTTGCTCCTTGCTATGGCATTTGTCAAATTCACAAATGTGAAATACTTCCACAAGCTCGAAGAAAACGTGGACCTTGTGTATAGTTTTCAAAACACATACTGAAATTACTACTTACTTGTAGCCAATATCTTTGAATAGTAGTTTCTACTTTACTTTACTTGACTTATACTGAAAGTTATCTGCTATCTGGTCATGAGGTTAAAGGACTCAGAGATTACTTTGTTACAGTGTTTAGGATCTATGCAGCGCCGTGAGGATGAGTACGCTACTGTGAAGGTGCAGCTAAAGCTAGCCGGCTAGCGACAGACACGCAAGTTTTATAGACAGGAAACTATCCCTATTTAACCTGCAAATCCACCTCTCTGGACAGAGGATAACGACTATCACAGAGAGCAATAGATTAAGGCGAGGGCGTAATTTTAATAAACGATGCTGAGACAAACTCTGGCTGTAAATAGTTGTTGGTCTAGAAAGTTGCCAGGAAATTGGTACTCACCGTCGGTGCGCCTGAAATTCCAGACAGCGTCCAGTCTGGAGTCCTGCCTCCTCCACGTAGAGACAAAAGTAGACGGCAGTTGGAATGTTTCCCCGCCCCGCCCGCTTACGTCATCGCCAGGCGTTGAGGTCCAGTGTATGGAGTATTATCTATGCCAAAAATTAAAATAAAGTTACAAGTAAAAGATATAATTTTTAGATAAATTGATTAATAATGACTCTTGGGAATTCTTAAAAATATTAATCATTCATGGCATTACCATTTTGTATGGTACATATTATGTATGTGTTTGTGTTTATGTGTATATTCTCAGTTGGTCTTACACAACAGTCTTAGAATAAATCCTACCTTCATAAAGGTTGTAATGTTCAGTTTTTGTTAAAACTGTTTTAGACAGGTGCTGGATGTAGTTTGTAATGTTGCTGAACAATATTGCATAGAGAGGTGTTTCTGTTATTTAGTTTATTTTGTCATTGATCCATCCAAAATCATGTAGTTGAATCATCAACTCTTTGTTTAAACATGAACAAAACAAAAAACTTAAAAATTGAAATCAATATTTGGTGTGACCACTCTTTGCCTTTAAACAATACCAATTCAGTACCAATTCTGGTAGGTACAGTTTTTTAAGCTTTTTGGCCTCTTGGAGAAGTTGACCAGTTCTTCTGTGGATTTAGGCTGTCTCAGTGTCTTCTGTCTCTTCATGTAATCCCAGACTGACTCTATCATATTGAGATCAGGGCTCTGAGGGGGGCATACCATCTGTTGCAGGACTCCTTGTTCTAGTCACATACAATTGTTTTTTGTGACTATGGCTGTATTTTTGTATGTTTACTCATGCTGATTTTAGAGGGTAATTTTGGGTACCAGTTACTTGAAAAGAAGACACCCCCAATCCCAGGAAAGAAAGTATGGATCAGAACACACAAAACATGGTGGTACACAGTCATGATATCGACAGTGCTGATAATACCACAATGGATGGAAGGGTTAGGAAAGAAATTAGTTTTTCTTATTCATTTTGCTGTGCAAACAGGTTCATGTCCCTCCTTCATCAAAATTCAAAGGTTTGCAGACTTGTTATTTGAAACTTCATCCTTGTCAGCTTCTGCTTTTGTTGAAGGGGAAAGAGAGGCTGGATTCTTTTGCAAAGTAATGCGTGGTACAAGGAACAACAACAGTTTTTGTACATACAACATACAACATACAAAAGCCAAAGGTTTTACAGGAAAACGATAATAGACTGTTAGGATATTAGAATATTAGGATGGAGAGCTACCGAGAAGTCCTTTGTGTCAAATGTTGAAAAGGTATCTTATAAAGACACAATGATTTTAGAGCCACAGGGGAGTCTTGTAAGAAGAGACAAGAGGTTGGACAAAAAAGAGCAGTCGGTGTAATGTGTGGCTTGAAATATGAGACGCGCAGTAAGATTAGAGCGAAACTCAGGGCTGCAGGATATGCAAGAAATTACACTAAATAATAGCCTATTAAGATTTAACAAATAGCCTAATGTACCAGGAGTTATTTGCTTGTTTGAGAAAGGCGAGAGAAACATTGATAGTTTTATGATATATCTTAGTGCAAACGAAATAACACCAATCAAACCTGTAAAAACAAGTATAATGGTGCATATGATATAAGCTGCTTCCATGAAAGAAACGATAAACAGCAAATCTGCTTATCGGAAAAATGGCTGATCCATACTCCGGACCAGCAGGTGGCGACAATGCGCAATAGGTTAACATTAAAGGTGGAGCACGTTAAAAAAAAAAAAAAAAAAAACACGGACCGTTCACTGGCTGTTGTTGATTCTGTCTTCAGTTTCGCCTGTGATGGGAAACGAAACGCAGATTGAGCGCCATATTCTTATTACCAGATTATTTCAGTATCATGAGACGACAAGGATTTGAATGACTTCGGTTGTTCACCTGCTTCGCGATATGTCTACAGCGATGCTCAGGTAAAAACTGTGGACTGAAATGCGGTTGTCTACCAGTAGGTATAACGACGAGCTAGCTTAGCAACTAGCTAGCTGTATCAGCTAACTGGAATGATACCATAAATAAAGATAATTCTAGTTTAGTTAGCTACGAACTTCAATTTTGTTATTGTTAACGGGCTAAACGGCATATATTAGAAAAACGTGTTTTCTTGACGTACCTGTGGTAATGTAAGTTAATTGTTCATAGCTATTGCTACATTGAAGGTAACCCATCCTAGCTGCCAGTGTGTCTGGTATAATGAGCAAGTGCATTCTAAAATCCGACATTCATGAAGGTTATAATGCCCATCTGAACTACGATCTTTACAGTGGTATTTCCAATAATTTGTGCTGTTGCTCAGGGTACACCAAACACCACTAACACTTCAATGTAAAGAAATACGGGTCAACAACATTACTTACAACCTACAACACGACCATAAGAATTAATCAACGCCTCTCTAAAACAAAAGCATGCATTCTCTTCATGGAGGTAGGGTTTACTAGACTTCATTAAGTTTGACTGGTGTACCTAGAAAACTGGCCACTGTGTGTTAATGTGAAGTTGCTTTTTTGAACCTAAGTTAGTTTCTTAATTCACCATGTCATGCCTGCTAAAAGTGGTCAGATAGATAATCATACCCTTTAGCAGAAAGAAAACAAGAGCCAAGAAAAAAACATGATTAAAATGCTTTATTTATCTCCCACATTGCTGTAGTAAGGGCTTGGATGAATGAAATCTATCTAAGCTCTTCTACACTGTCCTTCCAAGTAATCAGCAGGACAGTCCATGTAAAGCTGCGACACTCTTAACAGTACTGGACAGTTCAGGAAAGTTTATATTCATTGCTGCATTATGTAGAAAACACCTTCACAACTACTGTGACATGGAAGAGTTTATGGATTAACAACTCAATTAGCAATGTTGAATCCTTCACTCCCATAAGTTCATTACTTATCTCAGTAGCTGTTTCTAACATCAGAGGCTGGATCCTCTGAATGCAGCCCATATACTGTAGGTGGGTCTCTGCCCTGATGGCCAGACTGAATTGCTGTATTTCCTGTTCTGGGATATTGCAGCACAACAGACACCAAAACTATCGAATGTCCAGGTGTTTTTTTTTCTCAATTTCTTGCCAAAATGCTCTATTAAACAGCTTATAAATGTACAGCAAACAGTAAGATACAGAGCATTAGAGTTTTGGATGTGTTTCGCAAATCTGGACAACAAGCTGCATTGATGGTCTGCTTTTGTAGGAGCCCTTGAAATGGGTCAATTTTGTCAGGTTTCATTCATCACTATTTTATAGAAAGCTGAAACATAATATTTTGTGAAACATGGTATTTTATTTCCATATTTCAAGGTAAATTGGTGCCTACTACTGTATTGGACAGTAAAAGTTGAGATGTAGACGCCGAATATGTTCTTGATCGGATGTTTAATGGGTTCTCAGATGATGAACAATTGATTCCACTGAAATCACTTACTAATACTGTTACTAATACTAACAAAATATGTAAATATGGCTTCTATCCAACAAGTTGATCAACCGGCTAGCCATTTCTGTTTTTAAGTTTACCATAATCACACTCTTTTTTCTTTTTTTTTTCTTGACTGAAGTACTACTACCAACAAGCTGAATGTATTGGTCAACAAGCTGCATGAGTACTTGGCTCATTCCACTGTTGAGGACAGCAATGGCACACCAACACTAGAGGATTCTGATGGTACAGCTTCTGATTAATGCATTGATGAGTGATGGAAAAATTCTTGTCATGTTCACATGCTTTACAAACTTTTTAACTGATCTTCTGTTCATAGGTCTGACAAACTGGAGCTGCTCTGTGGGAACAGGTCATACTGCAGCAGAGGTAACTGAAGATTCTTTGTGTTTTTGTCATATCTGTCATCATTTGTATGGATTTGTACATTGTGGGAAGTAATGGTGCAAGTAACCCTTTAACTGGATCCACCAAAAAATGTTCACATTTAATTTACAACAGTGCCACATTGGATGAAACATTTTTTTTGTTGTGGATATTGAAGCCCCCGTGCAAAACTTGAATATGAAAAATGTACAATAATGTCTGTAGTTAATCCTTATGAATGAACTGATGACTAATTCACAAACCATTGCCAACAAACAAACAAAAATAAATAACATCTTTTTCACTTGCCTCACTTTTAATACAGAGATGACAAGACTAACCTTGCATTCATGTGGTGTCAGAATAATCATACAAATGAGTTTCTGACAAGGACAATTCACATGAACTCCTCCTCAAAACAGCAGAAATTTTGTTACATGGCTTGCCATGTATTTTACGTCATATTCCCATGTGTCCAGTGTGCCTCCATCCACAAAATGCCAAAAGTCCACTTGCATCACCTCAAATGGTTTTTTCCCCACTTTAGCCTCCTTATGTTTTTGTTTACATAAATGTACTTCAATGTGGTTTTTTTAAGCAGTAGCCCACTGCTTAAACATTCAACCAGATGTTTACTCATATTTAGCCCACTTGTAATCTCTCTTGTCTGTCTCCCATGGTCTCTCCCAAATACTCAGTGAGTAGTTTATGATTTTTGAACAGTCGTCTAACTCCTTGGAGGTCGTTATTATCAATGCTTTCTGTTCGTTCTCACGTGACTCATAGTCTCCATGGTTTGCATAACAAATTAAGTACTTGCTGCTGAATGAACATTCCCCATTATTGTAATGGTTTCAACACCAAACATGCCACTGGTCACTACCAGTAACAACCAAACTAACCGACTGTATTGCTTTGCAGGCAGGAGTGGATACCAAGTACTCAAGAAGGTGAATTTGCATTTCATCCATACCCTGCAAGCATAGATAACGCACCACAGCATAACACAATCATCACTTTGTGTGTCATTTAGTGTCAATAATTGGAGGACAGCTTAGATATATTTTAACACTACCATATAAAGTTTTGTTTTTGGAGTCAGATGGATTGCAGTGATACATAGAAATAGAGGATAATGCAATTACATCTTTACTCAAAGAGTCCAGATTCCATGCACAAATACAGTGTATAAT